CCGAACAGCTCCAAAACAGCCCCAATTCGGCCCGAACAGCTCCAAAACAGCCCCAATTCGGTCCGAACAGCTCCAAAACGCCCCCGCTTCGGCCCGGGCAGCTCCCGAATATATTCGTTTCAGCCCGAACAGCGCTCGAACAACTTTGTCTCATCCCGAACAGCCCTCGTGGAGTCCGAACAGCGACCCGAGCACGTCGAACGGCCCCATTAGCACCCCGGCAACCATAAGAACGGCCCGGACAGCCATGCGAATAGCCCGAATGACATGTTGCAGCAAAACAAAGGAAATAAAACCAAAAATATCTGAAAAAGAGTACGTTGTTACCTTTCGGACAATTTATCGAACACTTCGTGGTCAGGATCTCGCAAGAGGGATGTTCATAAACTCTTCAATGTGGCGCACCAAAAGATTGAATGGCAGCAGCAACAACTCAAAGCTATAATTAGCAGATGTGGAAGACTGTAGCATTACACAGAATCATTAAACTCGAGACTATGAAGCAAGATGTATGAACGCGAAAAAAAAAGGAGAACAGGAAGGAAGAAATTTAATTACAACCTATGATCAACCTGCTCTGCTCTTTGTACGTGAAGAAAGACGGGGTATCTGGGGCCTTTTTATAGCTGTGTTCCAAAGTTACGTGGGCTTAAGGGAGTTCGAGTCGGGAGAGGAAAGAGATTCAGAGTCTTGTTAGAACTTAATTAGGAGACTTTGATTCCAGAAGTTTATTTCTACGAGCAGAAGATGGAAAAGGAATACGCATGGTTCTAGTCTTCTAGGCCGAACAGTTCTCAAAAGTATCTCCAATTCTCCATTGATTTTGGACTTCTTATGTGGCTAAGTGAATACGGAAAGAAAAATCGAGATGTGTTATTTCCTTGGGCCATCTGTAGAGGGGCTAATTAGTTGTGCTGAAAGTTACAATTAATGGTGGCAAAATGGGCTAGTGATGATGGGATTTTAATTGTTTGGTAATGGGCTTGAGGATGGGACTTTATTTGTTGATTAATGGACGGATGAAGATAGTCTTTGGACATAAGAATTTGATTATCTATAATTGTGGGATCAATTTAAGAAAAGGCCTGATAATGGTTTGGATTTTCTTAAATCGGTTTATTTTGTGTTGGGCTACTAAAGTTTTTGTTCTTTTGTCCAATATTAACCAAAGAATTTCTGAAGGCCCAATAAGGCGATGAGTCTATATCCGGTCCTCCAAGTCCAAATCAGATCAGAATTCGTGACTTATTCACTCCAAGACGTGTCGTCTGTGAACAAGTCCCGAGGGGGCATTTGTAGACAATTAAATTTTGAGCCAATTGAATGGCGACAAGTGTCAAATTCCATGTCATAGTCAATTTAATAATTTTCTATTTATTTGGGAAATTAATCAAATTTTAATTCCTAAATTAAATAGTTAATTGATTATTTGATATACTTTGTTGGCCAATTAAAGAATGCCACGTGTATATTTTAAAGGCCAATTAAAGAATGCCACATGTCATTTTCTTGGAGAGTAAAATAAATATTTATTTCTTTTAATAATTATTAAAGAGATAAATAAATAGAAATTCATGGACCAATCAGATTGAAGTCTTCTTTTCCAAGACTCTCTCTCCTAATTATCTCTTTAAATAATTATTAAGAGATAAATATTGGAAATTATGGACCAATCAAATTGAAGTCTTCTTTTCCAAGACTCTCTCTCCCAACACCTATAAATAGGGCTCTCCCTAAGGTGAAAAAAATGACAATTCATATTCAAGTTCCAAGTTCAAGAGCTCTAGAGAATTCTCTCCACAAGATTCAAGTGTTCTTGAAGATTCAAAGGCGTTCTTGAAGATCCGAAGGAAGATTCAAGCGCGTTCAAGCTCAAAACCGACGTTCAATCAGGAAACAAGCTGCCAAGCCTCCAAATTGCGTTATTAAATTCAAGTGTTCTTGAAGATCCAAAGGTGTTCTTGAAGATCCGAAGGAAGATTCAAGCGCATTCAAGTCCAAAACCAACGTTCAATCCGGAAACAAGCTGCCAGGCCTCCGAATTACGTTATAAAATTCAAAACCGACGTAAAGAAGATCAAAATCAACTTTGCGGCGAAGACCAAGGATTTGTGTTCTTCACGTTCTTGGGAAATCACGACGTTCAATTCGAGATCAAGCTGTCAAGCCCTCGAAGAAACGTTATTTAAATCCAAATTCAAGATCCGCGGAGATTAAACTGAAGATTCGTCTCCAAAAGTCTCAAATCCATTTGAAGATCGTTCTTGAAGAAATTAATCAGAGGAATAATAGAGATTTGTAATCCACTATATTTCTTTTGATTCGTAGAAAATCATTTGTACGAAGTTCTCGTGTTTATTAATTCAATAATACGAAATTTTGCGTTACAATGCCCACTTCTTACCATTACCCACCCTTTTACAACTCAAGAAGTGGCTATGATTTTCATGCATTCAATCTACAAACTGCATGGTCTACCCTTAAGCATGGTGACTGATAGAGACAAAGTGTTCACAAGTGCTTTTTGGAAGGAGTTTTTCAAACTCCTAGGGGTCAAGCAAGAGATGTCTACTGTCTACCATCCCCAAACAGATGGACAGACTGAGAGAGTTAATCAATGCCTAGAATCTTACCTAAGGTGCATGGTGCATGAGTGTCCTAAATAATGGAGAAAGTGGCTCAGTTTGGCATAATACTGGTACAACACCAATTACCACTCTAGCCTAAGGATGACTCCTTTTCAAGCACTCTATGGATACCCACCCCCTAACTTTGCTATCGGACCATTTCTCGACACTTACCACACAGAAGCATCAGAACTTATCAAACAAAGGCAAGCAGTTACCCAGCAACTCAAAGATAATTTACTGGCAGCACAAAACAGGATGAAGGTATATGCTGATAAACACAAACAGGAGAGGCAATTTTCAGTTGGTGAGCAGGTGTATTTGAAGTTACAACCATACAAGCAAAATTCAATGCACCTAAGGAAGAATATCAAACTATCAACCAAATATTATGGTCCTTATACTATCACAGAAAAAATAGGCACAGTGGCCTACAAGTTAGATCTTCCTGCAGAGTTAAAGGTGCACCCTGTTTTTCATGTTTCTTTATTAAAAAAGGTGATTAGTCCAGCAGCATTACCTTCTTGCGTTTTGCCTGAGGTGAACTCCGATGGGATCTTCAAGATCCAACCTTTTCGCATTGTGGGAACTCACACCATTAAAAGGAAAGGGATGGAAGTGCAGCAGGTCCCTGTGGAGTGGGCGCACGCGGATTTTTCGAAACCGACATGGGAGGATGAAAAGCACCTCCGCCGGAAATTTCCAGACTTCGGCCCTTGGGGACAAGGTCCGAACTCGGCGGGGGGTATTGTCATTAAATCCAGTGGATCGAGGAAATGGCGGCGAAGAGAAGGTGAACATGGCGATGCCGACAAATGAAGTAAGTGAGGGAAAAGGAAAATCGTTGCCTGAGAAAGAAAGGATTTTTAGGGTTTCGGCTTGGGAAATTGAGAAAGAAGAAATGATTGAAGAGTTTACAAATAATTCGGTAATTAATTAATTGTTTGGGCCAAATGTTTTGGGCCAAGTACTTGTTTTAGAGAAATTTATTGATTGGGCTGTTAGCTCAAAGGTAAGCTAGTGTAGTTGGGCTACTTTAAAATTAATATTAGAATTAAGTGAAATAGCTAAGTGACCCGTTGAGGGTAATGTGGGAAATCAGACATGTATTTAGCATCTTTTGGATGAATGGAAAAAGGTATCGAATTAGTTGCAACAAATTCCTTCTTCTCCCTCTCTCTCTCTCTCTCTCTCTCTCTCTCTCTCTCTCTCTCTCTCTCTCCTATTCTCTTTCTCTCTCTCCTCACGTCCCCATCATCTTCCTCAATTCTCTTCCTCGTTTACAGAGAAAACATACAAACTTATCTAGTTTACATGGCAAACTTCTAAATATTACAAAACACTACATATACGTGCTAGAATCCCCCTCTAGACTAAAGAATTTCGCTCCTGACGCGTATCCTGATGAGAGACGTCCTTCTGATCTACGATCACCCTCAAGTAGGATAGGGAGAAGGCCCAGAAATATACAAAAATGACAATCCTCGAAAAGACATTCTGGTTGTTCGACAATAGTTCTGGATTTTGGACGACATGTGACTTTTCCAGCCAAAATTTTTCGGCAAACCTATCGACGATCATTTTTCGGCAGTCGTCGGCATTTTTCGGCTGTAAACGACATTCTTAACCTCCCATGATCGTTTTTAGCCGTTCATCGCCGGAAACCTTATTTCGCGATGATTCCACAAACAACGCCCCTTTTTTCTTGGAATTTCAACTCTCCTGCAAGTGTTGTGGTGGTTCATGGCCTGATTTTCATACTCTATATACTAAGATAATCGCCGACTTTGTTTGGACCAACTTGAGCCATTTGTATTTGAATTGAATATGCTTTTATTCTTCTGAGGGTGGAACATATTATTTGGGGGGAGGCGTAATGAGGATTTTTGAACTGAGTGTTGAAAATTTAAAGAAATTGGGGGTTGCCATTCGCTTTTGAGGTTTGGTGTGGGTTATTGTGCTTTATTGAATGTGTCGGCACTCTGGGGTGCATGTTGGCGACTTGCTTTGAAATTCATTACATCACTGGAGTTCAGGAGCATTTGGAGTTTGTATTGACTCCGTAGGAGTTGTACTTTGTGGAATATGTTGAAAAATCCGTGTGCTTTTATTCTTAGTAAAAGAAGCCAAAAAAAAAAAAAAAAAGCCTTAAAGGACTTTAAAATTCCTACATTTGCTTATCATGACTATCCCAATATACCCTTTCCCAGTCCTCCACTTTCTTTATCCCATTATCTCTCTGTTCAATAACAGAATGGAGAGATGCCGGGCCGTAAGGCGGAGGCATCTCGCACGGCCCGTAAGCCGACGGGCCCTTCACCAATGACTCAGTCATGAACTGCTTCTCGAAACCTTGCGCGAAGCAAGCCATCGACTCAGAACAAAGCTCAACAGCCTTTGGTGGCACAGTTGGCTTGTATTTCAAGAGCTTGGCGTACTCGCTCAAGAGATGGAACATGTAGTCGTAAACATAGTCCATTTTCAGTTCGTCGAAAATGAATCTGCTTGCACCTTTACCAATGGCCCGAGCCTGTTAATCGAGTGGACAAATAAGTCAGGTTAGACAGTGAACTCTTAAAGGGCATTTTTCATTTTTATTCATCTATAGTCGAAATTGCATATCGTGTGACTGATAAATTTTGGGCTCTCCCACATGACCAAAACTGCAATTTTAGCACAAGAAATTTACTTTGTTCGCTATATAAATTACCGCTTTTTCGTGGCTATTTCCCCATTCAACAGCGTACTTGATGGATCTACATTTGTCGTCCTCCTTAATCGGCCAGTAATGTTTCAAAGGCATCAAACTTCTCGTGAAGAAGTCATAGTAGTGAGGCTTCACGAGCAAAGTTACGGAGTTGCAGGCCAGAATGTATTTCTCGCTCACCGACCATGCAGACCCTTCAATGTAGATTTTGTACCTGTTCAAAATAATTTTGCATAGTAAGGGAATTTTTTTGTCAAATGTATCAAATGGGAATAATAAACATAGACCATTGAAAAGGGATTGTTATAGTTTTTCGGACGATATGTTTTTACCTGTGAACACATTGGCTTGCTAAGTCTGACTGCTTGTAGCCCTGTTTTTGTTCTTTTAACCAGTCCTGCAATATTATTATATTATTATGAATTTATGATCATCATTACTACGAAGGGGAAATAAAATGCAAAACTTTCGGACGGAAGGTCATTTTGTTGATCTCGAAACGACTACATCTTCATAAAACAGCAAATTTGACGACAAAAAAGTTACTAAAAGAAACATACAACTTTACCTGAGCATAGACCCGAGCATTCCAATCCTGTTTATGTGAAACATTACACTTGAGTAAATCCATCCGAGTAGTGGCAACCACTGGATTTCCCTTCCAATAAGCATGCGGATCTCTGTCACTCCATTTCATCCTCTTATTCCCCTCCTTCAATTCCTTCAACAACTGCTCCCATGGTTTTATATTAATCTCCGGCCTGCATTTATAAGTATTTGTTAATGAATATCCGCCAAAAATACTCTATTCACAACTGCAATAAACACCAACCCAGCTTTACCCAATGTTTCAAGTCCCCCTTTAGAGGCACACTTTAAGGGGATTTTCTGCTAGCTAGCTAGCTAAGAATCTCATGATATGGGTGTTTGTGGTGCCTTAAGGCCTGATTATAGCTTTGAAAGATAACTGGATTTTGTTTCTTTCCAGTTAAGCAGAAGCTGATTTTCTTGATTTCTTCTTTTACAACGCAAAAAAAAAA